CAAATTACATTACATTGTGTGTTCTTCCATGGTTTAGTAATGGAATTTTCGTGTTTTTCGTCCATGTTCGTGTTGTTCGTTCTTACATTCCGTTAATCCGTTTGATGTGTGGTTTATTTCATTTTAAAGCCCTTGGATTCTAGTTTGGGGGACTATGCTTGGATGCATGCTTGGGTCTCGTATGTGCTTGGAATTGTGTGCCGAAGTGACGCCCGTCATGTGTTCGATGAAAGTCCCCTGTTTTGTTTTGTTTGTTTTTCTTAGTTTGTGTGTTTCATTTTTTCCTCCTCTTCATTCCGTCTTTGTTTCATTTTCGTCACGTGACTTGTTGAGTGTTTTTACACATATTTGTGGTGTATATTTACATCATGCTTGGTTTGCTCTTAGGGTTGTTCACGTTTTTCGATGCATCTCTTTCGTGCCTCATTTATGTGTGCGATGTTTCATTTCATATTGTATCGTACCCCATGCATTCTTCATCTTACTAATTGAATTCCGTCTCTCCATGTGTCAGATGGCCCGTAAGCGTTCTCGACCTTCTGCGCAGCCAGCTAGTGGTTCGACGACGTATAGTCGTTCCAGATTCATTTCTGCTACAGCTCAGGAGGTCTTCACTTCTCAGTTCTCCTTAGGCCCCGTTCTCATGGAGCGTGAGGTAATCCTCTCTAACCTTCCTGTTGATATCGCCGCCATTTTTGTTTCCCGGGGTTGGGAGTCCCTTTTTGTTGGTCTTTCACCTCCTCCCCCACTCCTCGTTCAGGAATTCTATGCTAATATTCATGATATAGACGGCTCGTCTTTTCGGGTTACTCTTAGAGGTCATTCTTTTAGGGTTACTCCGTCGGTTGTAGCTCATGCTTTAGGTATACCTCAGATTACCCATCCGACTTATCCCTATATTTTACCTGCTTCTATTCCGGCCGATTCTCTTGTTCGGTCGACGCTTTTGAACACCCCGTCTATCGGTGGGCCTTCGACGATGGCCACAGGGTCATTACCTACTAATCGTCAGGTGTTGTTGCGCATAGTGTGTACAAACCTGTGGCCGGTTGCCCATACCTCTTCATTACCTATGGTGCGTGCCCGTTTTCTTTATGCCCTTCTTCATGGGGATTCGATCGACTTTTCTAGTTTTGTGTGCCAGAATATTCTGGCTTCATTTCGTACTCCTGGGAGTCGGATCGGGTTGCCTTATGCTTGCTTGATTCATAGGGTTGCTTTGTCGTTGGGTGCTTTCTTTCCAGAGGGTTCGACTTGTCGCATAGGCCGTCCGATAGGACAGCAGACCATTCATTAGAGTCGATCCCATGTACAGTCATCTTCCTCTTCTACTCATGCTACAGGTCAGGCAGCGGCCGTTGATGTTTTTGATCTTTCGGAGCCCTTTGATCCTATTACTGAGATTCTTACTAGGGGTTCCCGTATGTCTCTCCCGCCTCGTACGGCTTTTCCTCCGACCATTCCACTTACTTCTGCCTTTCCTTCAACATCTACTTCTACTTCTGCTCCTGGGGTGGCTGCTTTGCCCGTTGATCCCATGGTGACGCTTATGGGACAGATGTCTACTTTGGTCGAGCAGCAGGCTCGTATGATGGCAGAGATCACGCAGTTACGTGCTGCGTCGAAGCGTCAGTCAGCTAAGCTGTCTTCTTTTCGCCGTGCTCTTACAGTGTGTCAGCGTCATTTGCGTTGGATTCGTGATAGTATGGCGGACGACACGAGTGCTGAGAGCGGAGCTGAGTCTTCAGATGCTGGAGGTGCTGCCTCGTAGTTAGTTAGTTAATTGTTTTTATCTTTCTCCTTTGTGACAAAAAGGGGGAGTAGATATTTGGATAGATAGATCGATAGATCTTCAATTTTTTGGTAATTGTGTTATACTTCATGACTAGATTAAGTTTTTTGATGTTTTGGCAATATTAATGTATGTTTTTGGTGTTTTTTGACTTACATTATTATTGCTTCTTAATCTGGTTAATGACATATGATCGATTTCTTGTTTACTGTTTCCATTTCATATGCTTTTACACTTGGTATTTGAGTTTTTGATTTTCAGGAAACAGGTTCAACAAGAGATTGCTACTTTAGTTGAATAGATAGGTTGTTTGGAGTCATGTTTATTTTTGTCCTTGACTGTCATATGTATTTTTGTCACAGAATGCCAAAGGGAAAGTTTGCTAGGAAAATGTGTAATTGGCAATCTGTGACCAAAGGACCTATTTGTCAAAATTGTAAAGTCAAGGACTAAATTGTACAGGTCAAATAGTTCAGGGACTAAAGTTGCAATTTAGTAAAGGTCATAGCATAGGTCTAGGGTAAAGTGGGATGCTTTGAAGATGCAAACGGCTCGTTGATGTCGCTGGAGTTTCACCCTGACCTTTCTAGAGCCAAAATTGCAGAAACCTCACTGGAGTTTCGCTGGTCTATCGCCTGAGCGAAGGTACGTCGCTCGAGTTTCACCAGGACCTCGCTCGAGCGATCGTGCTATCTGGCCTTTGGTAATTTTAATACCTCGCGAATTCCCATATTACCAAATTCGACCTACTATATAAAAAAAAAGTCCGATTTTCTTATTGGACCTTTGGCAAACATTAAAACAACAATTCCTCCCAACTTCCAAAGGATCAAGAGCCAAAATAAATTCATGCTTTTCATCGTTGATTCTTATGGTTCTTTGAATAAAAACATCAACCCTCACAAAACCAAACCACCATTTCATATCTCCATATAAACTTCTAGAAGATCATCTATTTGAAGATCCAGGAAGGAAATTGCTTGAAGAGCTGGAGTGCTTGGTGATTGACAGGAGGTAGAAGATATTCAAAGCTGGGATTTTGGCACAAATCTGCAAAATCCAGGATAGCTGTGGTCGATACAGTAAGGAGGTCAGAATATTGTTAGAATCAATAATGTTTGACGTACTGTA